TAAATGTAGTATAGTTGTTAGGTTGGAGGCGGGAATCATAGCCATAGAAGCCCGGCTCCGCATCTTAGAAAGTAACTCAGCTACAGTAAAGCCCATGTTAGCCGGTGCGGACCGGCAAAAGGTAGCTCCTATTAGCCGTCCCCCGGCAACTCCCGAGCAGCAGGGAGACTGGGTGACTGTTCAGAAGGGGCATAACGCGAAACCCGCAGGTCCCCACCAACCCGTTCACGTATCTAACAGATATTCCCCACTCAGCGAGACACCCGCTGAGAAGCCAACTCTGGTTATTGGTAGCTCTATTATGAGACACGTGAAATTAGAGACCGAAGCCTCCACAGTCGCATGCATTCCGGGGGCCAGAGTGGGCGACGTTGAGGCGCATCTTAAACTGCTGGCTAAAAATAAACGTAAATACAGTAGGATTGTTATTCACGTCGGTGGTAATGATGTTCGTTTACGCCAATCAGAATGCACCAAACTTAATGTGGAGTCGGTGTGTAGTTATGCTAAAACAATGTCGGACACCGTAATCTTCTCTGGTCCCCTCCCCAATCTGATCAATGATGACATGTATAGCCGCATGTCATCATTTCAGCGCTGGTTGTCTTGGTGGTGCCCAGCAAACAATGTGGGCTTCGTAAATAATTGGACAGCCTTCTGGGGAAAACCTGGTCTGATTAAGAGAGACGGCATTCATCCTACTTTGGAAGGTGCAAATCTCATTTCGGCAAACATTTCAGGGCTTTGTGGACTTAATCCATGACAAACTGGAGTTGAGACCAGGAGGCGGAGTCGCAGTCTTACACGCTTCTCTGCGCTCTCTCCTAGGCAGTCATCCATAGGAATCCCGAACCCAATAAAATACCCAATATTAGCGGTGTGTGTGTCTGCCCAAGGACAAGTTAAGGTAAAACCTAATAGAGGTGTCATACATAATAACCTAATAAAAGTAAATGTAACAACTACTACAGTGCAACAAAACAGGAATATTAAATGTGGTCTCTTAAACATAAGATCTCTAGCATCTAAAGCAATATTGGTAAATGATTTAATATCAGATTATAATATTGATATATGCTGTCTCACTGAAACTTGGTTGAGACATGAAGAATATGTCAGCATAAATGAGGCCACTCCACCCAGCCATATCAATACTCATATTGCCCGAGGCACGGGCCGAGGAGGTGGAGTTGCAGCAATCTTTGACTCAAGTTTACTTATCAATACTAAACCAAAATTAAATTGTACCTCCTTTGAAAGTCTCGTTTTTAGTCTTACGCATCCGACCTGGAAAACTTTGCAGCCAATCTTATTTGTTACAGTGTACCGTGCACCAGGTCCTTATTCAGAATTCTTATCTGAATTCTCTGAGTTTTTATCAACTTTGGTTCTTAAAACAGATAAAGTAATTATCGTAGTTGACTTTAATATTCATGTTGACGATGATAAAAATAGCCTTACTGTTGCATTTAACTCTATATTAGATTCTGTTGGTTTTTGTCAGAGTGTAAATAAACCAACCCACTGCTATAATCACACTCTCGACCTTGTTCTGACTTATGGTATTGAAATTGAGCAACTATTAGTCGAACCGCATAATCCTGCTTTATCCGACCATTTTTTAGTAACTTTTGAAGTACTGTTACGAGACTACAAAGCATTAGTCAAAAGCTCCTGCAGCAGAAACCTATCTGTTAGTGCTATAGCCAAATTTAAGGAAGAGATTCCACCAATACTTAACTCGATAGCATGTCTGCATGTAAGGGAGGAAACTTATACAAAATGTACACCACCCCAAATTGATCATGTTGTTGATCGTGCTACAGATGCGCTGCGAATAAAATTAGACTCTGTTGCTCCTTTGAAAAAGAAGAAAATAAAACAACATAGATTAGCTCCATGGCATAATGCCGAAACCCGTAAAATAAAGCAAAAGTCGAGACAACTTGAAAGGATATGGCGTTCCACTAAACTTGAAGAATCTCGTTTAATTTGGCATATTACTCTCAATGAATATAAGAAAGCACTGCGTAAAGCGAGAGCAGCCTACTACTCTTCATTAATAGATGAGAATAAGAATAATGCAAGATTTCTTTTCAGCACTGTAGCCAGGCTGACAGAGAGCCACAGCTCGATTGAGCCTTCTATTCCCATAGCACTCAGTAGTAATGATTTTATGTGCTTTTTTAATGATAAAATTGTTACTCTTAGAAACAAAATTAATGACCTCTTGCCTTTGACCAGTATAGTGTTATCAACAGCTCCCGGAAACGTAAGTTCTAATATTACACTAGATAGTAAACTAGAATGCTTTTCAGCCATAAACCTTGAACAATTAAATTCAATGATTCTCTCTTCTAAACCATCAACGTGTATGTTAGACCCAATTCCAACTAAGCTGTTGAAGGAAGTTTTTCCATTAATTAGCACTTATTTATTAAATATTATGAATATGTCTTTATTATCAGGCTATGTTCCACAATCATTCAAAGTAGCAGTGATAAAACCGCTTCTTAATAAGCACAACCTCGATCCAGAGGTTTTAGCCAATTATAGACCTATTTCCAATCTTCCGTTCCTCTCAAAAATTCTTGAGAAAGCGGTCGCAAAACAGTTGTGTGATTACTTAAAAAACAATGATTTATTTGAAGATTTTCAGTCTGGCTTTAGAACACATCATAGCACAGAGACAGCTCTGGTTAAAGTCACAAATGACATTCTAATAGCCTCAGACAAGGGACTTGTCTCTATTCTTGTTTTGCTCGATCTCAGTGCTGCATTTGATACTATCGACCATGATATCTTATTGCAAAGACTAGAGCACTTAGTTGGCATACAGGGAACTGCTTTAGACTGGTTTAGGTCCTATCTTTCTGAACGCTCTCAGTTTGTACGTGTCAATGATGAATCTTCCACGCAAACCAAAGTTAGCCATGGAGTGCCACAGGGCTCAGTGCTCGGACCTATTTTGTTCACATTATATATGCTTCCGTTAGGCAATATTATAAGGAATCATTCTGTACATTTTCATTGTTATGCGGATGATACTCAACTATATTTATCAATCAAGCCTGATGAAATTAATCATCTAAATAAAATTCAAGACTGCCTTAAGGACTTAAAAACGTGGATGACCTTAAACTTTTTGATGTTAAACACGACCAAAACTGAAGTTATTGTACTTGGCCCGAAGAATCTACGAAACAAATTATCTAAGGATATATTAACCATGGATGGCATTAATTTGGCCTCCAGTGAGACTGTAAGGAATCTTGGTGTTATATTTGATCAGGATTTATCCTTTAACGCCCACATAAAATCAATTTCAAGGACCGCCTACTTCCATCTACGTAACATTGCAAAAATCAGGCATATCTTGCCTCAAAACGATGCAGAGAAACTAGTCCATGCATTTGTTACTTCAAGGCTGGATTATTGTAACTCTTTATTATCAGGGTGTACCAAGAAGTCAGTCAAGTCGCTTCAGCTGATTCAAAATGCTGCAGCTCGTGTACTAACCAGAGTTAGGAAAAGGGACCACATTACTCCTGTTCTGGCTGCCTTACACTGGCTCCCTATAGAACACAGGATAGAATTTAAAATTCTTCTTCTCGCCTACAAAGCCCTTAATGGGCAGGCGCCATCTTACCTTAAAGAACTCATTATACCCTACTGTCCTACTAGGGCATTGCGTTCCAAGAATGCAGGGTTGTTGGTTGTTCCTAGAGTCTCTAAAAGTACAATGGGAGCCAGAGCCTTTTCTTATCAAGCTCCACATTTGTGGAATCAGCTTCCAGTTTGTGTTCGGGCGGCAGACACCCTATCCGTTTTTAAGAGTGCGCTTAAGACCTTCCTTTTTGATAAAGCTTATAGTTAGGGCTGATTAGATTCAGCCCCTAGTTTTGCTGATATAGGCTTAGTTTGTCGGGGGACATCTTACTTCTTCCTTCTCTCTGTCTATACCTGTGTACTCTCATGTTCCGATTAACCCAGCTTCCCCAAATGTCTTTCTTTTTGGTGTCTGTATATGCCGGGATCCGGAGTCATGGATGATCCTGCGCTCCTCTGTCCTGGATCTTGAGTCGTGGCTGTGGTCCTGGATCATAGGTCCTGGATGGATATCCTTGTGGATTCATCTTCCTATTATACACACATGCATTTCCAAACATTTGGACTACCTATGTTGCAAATGTATTATCTTTTCAATTTACACACGGCATCTATTGCACGTCTGTCCGTCCTGGGAGAGGGATCCCTCCTCTGTTGCTCTCCCTGAGGTTTCTCCCATTGTTCCCTTTAAACTGTGGGTTTTCTTCGGAAGTTTTTCCTTGTACGATGTGAGGGTCTAAGGACAGAGGGTCTAAGGACAGAGGGTCTAAGGACAGAGGGTCTAAGGACAGAGGGTGTCGTATTGTCATACTGATATTTTGTACAAACTGTAAAGTCCACTGAGACAAATGTAACATTTGTGATATTGGGCTATATAAATAAACATTGATTGATTGATTGATTGATCTAAGTTATCTCGTTAATAAATGTTTTTGTTGACTTTGAAACCGTAGCCTTTAATTCTTGGACATAGCAGTTTATCAAACTGATATATAAACGAGGGTCTTACAGTCCACTAGTCAGACAGAGAACAGCAGGTTTTTAATAAGGGACTCCAGCAGACAGACAGCTCTGAGGCCAATGAGATAGAAACATGACATCTAACAGTCACGTCAGTAAATGAGACTCCATACGTCCCCCATGTAACATCTGTAAAGTGTTATATCTATATCTATTTATTTCAGTCACGGTGAGTTTCATCATTTGGCTGTAAGGTCATTGATCCTTCTTCTTCTTCTTTAACTATACGTGTTGAACGTTATTTAAACCACTGGTTTACAGGGTTTCTGGGGACTTTACCTCCTCCCCTACAGCCTGAAGTATACGCCTATATGCAAAGTGAATGCTTCACATCTGGACAGGAAGTGTACATCAGACCACAGAAAACAGCAGGAACTTCCCCTTCTGGTTCTGCATCAAGACAGCCTCGTTGAAACACCAACTAGCTTCATCGGACATATTCACCATGATATGGCAGCTCTGTCAGCACTGAGGTCTCAAATATGTACAGGTAAGAGCACATGTTTCTACTTTATTAATTAAATGTCTCTTACTGCTGCTTCCTGTCGCTCTCCTGTTGAACCTCTTAGAGAGAACAGGCACCACATTAAACTAAATAAGAGAACGAGTTTGAAAGATATTGACTCAGAAACGTTGTTCAAACCCAAACTGTGCCTCTGTTTCACTCCTGAAAGAAAGAGAACGAGCTCTGTCTAATGTCTGAATCGCATGAGACACAATATATAAGTGAAAACATATTTAATTAACGCTTTGTTATACATTTAAATGCCAAAAAGGACTTTACACATCAAGGGTGACCTTTTCTGTTGGTGGATAAACAACTAGAAACTTGGATGAGTGCTTCGTGGGGAAGAGTTTTCAGCTTCTTGTGGTCGGCTCAAATTACCAAATCCTCCCACCGTGTACAGCTCTTTCCAAATCCCACGGTTGAATCTGCTTTTGCTGCAGTTTCTGTGAAACCAGTTAAATGGGCTGACGAGAGAGAGGCGCTCCAGAATTGACGTGGCAACTCACCCATGCAGTCTCACCGAGGCTGCTGTGACTTGTGATGTGAATCATCCGGCCGAAACTCCAAATAAATCATCAGTGTTTGACATCAAAGCTCCTGCTCTACCGTGTCTCTCTCCTGAGTCGGTGACTCCCACTGCATTGCTACACAGAAGTTTCCCTTACAGTCTACACAGAGTATGTGATCATAAGAAAAGTACATAAAAATACTACTTCATTTTCAGGTTATTCTCATACAACTATATTAATTGTCTATTTTAGTTAAACAGTTTACAGTTTGAAGAATAATATGCGCATTGAATATATTCATACAAATGTAAGTAACTTAAATATGGGATTAGTTTTGTATCATAAAGATAAAGCAACACTTTCTCAGAATAAAGCAAAACTGTGAGTTTAAAAGAAAAAAAAACTAAGTCAAGCAAAATAAAATTAATTTGAAAAATAAGTTGCAAATAAATCATTTTTGATTTACACGGACCACTATTGTTTCTACACGGACCACTATTGCGGTAAGCATGTTGTAACTTCCGGTTGTTGTTGTCATCTCCGGGTATCCCGTGTGCCTGTTCTGCTGCTGATAACTTATTATCTTAACTTAATCGATCGTTTTAAAACTCTTGATCACGGCAACTGCCTGACGTTGTAATCACACGTTACTACAGCTTAAGCTCTCACAACTCTCCTTCTCTTAGCGACTGTAACTCCACAGTTGCCTACACTCTTTTCGGGTTTGCTAACGGTAGCTACTTTAGCTTGATAGCTAGCCATGGCTCTTTCCCCACCCTCGGGTGCTATTTCCTGCTCTAACTGTCTCGTGTTTGGTTACTTCCCTACCTCCTTTACTGGTACCGGTACATGTGTTAAATGTAGTATAGTTGTTAGGTTGGAGGCGGGAATCATAGCCATAGAAGCCCGGCTCCGCATCTTAGAAAGTAACTCAGCTACAGTAAAGCCCATGTTAGCCGGTGCGGACCGGCAAAAGGTAGCTCCTATTAGCCGTCCCCCGGCAACTCCCGAGCAGCAGGGAGACTGGGTGACTGTTCAGAAGGGGCATAACGCGAAACCCGCAGGTCCCCACCAACCCGTTCACGTATCTAACAGATATTCCCCACTCAGCGAGACACCCGCTGAGAAGCCAACTCTGGTTATTGGTAGCTCTATCATGAGACACGTGAATTTAGAGACCGAAGCCTCCACAGTCACATGCATTCCGGGGGCCAGAGCGGGCGACGTTGAGGCGCATCTTAAACTGCTGGCTAAAAATAAACGTAAATACAGTAGGATTGTTATTCACGTCGGTGGTAATGATGTTCGTGTACGCCAATCAGAATGCACCAAACTTAATGTGGAGTCGGTGTGTAGTTATGCTAAAACAATGTCGGACACCGTAATCTTCTCTGGTCCCCTCCCCAATCTGATCAATGATGACATGTATAGCCGCATGTCATCATTTCAGCGCTGGTTGTCTTGGCACAAAGTTCACAGCCTCAATCCTGCTGTTCTCCTTGAACACATCCTGCAGCCACAAATATCGTTTGAGATTCTGACACAAACCTCCCAGGTGGGCGGGACTTTCAGGGGTGCGTCCCCATTGGCTCCTCAGCTTTTGAGTGACAGCCCACTACACCACAGATCATACAGTGCAACTCATGCAGCAAACTCCGGAGTCCACTCGGCCACGTTAGTGTCGGTGTCTCCTGGGGGGTTTTCATGGACATATCGGATTTATCTTATGGATTGCAGTGCATTATACTTGTGTTGTGTAGTTTATACTTTATTCCAACTTTAAATATTTTAATACCTGAACACACTGCTGCTGTTAAATAATTTCCCAATTTGGGATTGATAAAGTGTCTGTCTATTTATTTTATAGATTAAAAAAACACATCTATGTATTTTTAAGCTTAAGGTAATACACAATATAAACTGTATACTATTATTTTTTAAAGACATGTTACATTTCAAAAGCATATATTGCTATGTTTAGGACAAACAATTAAAGACTGCTTTAGAGCTGAAGCGTTCATACACAATGGATAAAACCGGTGTTGTTTCATTCTATATCCTGTGAGAAAATTATATACATTTAGCATAGGGCTGGGCGATTTGGCCTAAAAATAAAATCGCGATTTTTTCTAAACAAACCAGACCAAGGCAACATTTAAATACATATTTTATTTATTAACACAATACAAATAAATGAGATTACCAAGTAGTCTAGGCCTATGTGAACAAATCAGTTGTTCAAGAATAAAAATAATAAAATAAAAACAGCACCACGGCACTTGGCTGTCATTAATGTGCAAAGATTTTTTTTAAATCAAACTGGAAAAAAAATCTCTTTTAGGCCATCCCTGAAAAAACTTGATAAATAATGATAATGAAATGAATAATAAAAAAATACCCTCAAACATAGTGCGAGGTGGTTGCTATGCAACAACACTAACAGCTAGCGAACATATTAGACAGAGAGCGTTGATCCATTATTTGGCTATGTATTTACATTCATTTGTATGTTGCCGTTTATTGTGCAGCCACTGAAAACCTGTCCAGCATCAGTAGCATGGCTTACGTGGTTACTTGTATAGGTTGAGGTTGTTCTAGGCTGTTGCTTGGCGTGGTCAGAATATTGCTCCACTTTCTCCGGTCCCCGAGATTCGGCTTCCAGCAGCTCTGGAGAGAGCTTTCGCACCTGTGGCCACTAACGGTCATCATCTCTCTGCTTTGTTTCAAGACCCGCATCAGAAAGCTTTTGAATGGTGGTACTTCTCCAGTTGGTCTACCTGCTCTTCACGCATGTCGTCGTTTAGGTGCTTTTTTTTCTTCTGGAGATAGACACTCCTCCTCAATCCACTCCTCCATAGTAAGACCCCCCCGGAGGTCGAAGTTAATCTTAAATGTTTCCATCTTATGCTTTGTAAGTTTGTTTCGTAACGGAAGAAATGGAAATATATAAAACTGACAAGACAAATCAAGCAATCTGATTGGTCGATAGTGTTTTTGCGGACCTCTTTGATTACAGATTTGAAAACATTGTTGCTTGCTTTAAAAGTAGCTCAATTCATTATGTCAAACCTTGGAAAGTATCTAGATATCCCTGCCCTAAAGCCAAAGGAACTGCACACTGAATAGGCCTATGTTTTGCTGTTTGATGTCTATGTCTGGACCGCTGCGTAAAAAGGAGGGTTTCTGCCCCGTTACTTCTCCGCTGCTTTCTTGTTCCAGTTTTCAGCCCAACGGTATACTGTTTTACTCAGACGCGGAGGGATACTGACTTGTTGTGAAAAGTAACTTACAATTCTACCCGTGGTATACTATCAGTATATCACGGCTAAGAACCAATCAGATGTCTTGATTTGACTTGTCCGTTTTATATAATAACAATATTAACAATAGATTATTTGTATTATTATTGTTATTATTCAGAGAGATTCTGAAACTAAACTGAAGGGGTTCAGTTGGTCCTGTATTTCAGTCTGTGTTCTCTGATCTCAAAGCAGAAAGTATTTCCTGATTCAGTTCAGATTAAATATAATGTTGATATCTGGCGCCACCTAGTGTCAGACATGTGTTACTGTTCCTGGTGTCAGTCCTCTGTGCAATAAGTCATGTGGTAAATACAGACTGTATGTTTTCTGATGTGTGTGTGTGTGTGTGTGTGTGTGTGTGTGTGTGTGTGTGTGTGTGTGTGTGTGTGTGTGTGTGTGTGTGTGTGTGTGTGTGTGTGTGTGTGTGTGTGTGTGTGTGTGTGTGTGTGTGTGTCCTCTCACAGGGAGAAGATGATCTTCCTCATCCTGCTGCTCCTCTTCCTCACCCCCTGTGTCTCTGGTTAGTGTACTCCTTTATTTCCCACTTAGACACATTGAATATTATTGAAAAACCTTTTGTGTCTCGTTGTACCTTTTCCTAAAGAAGCATCTTAGAGCTCTTTGGTGTGGAACACTATTAGAGCAAGAAAAGAGGGTCAACACTGAGGAGGGGGATTCTGATTTATTTAGCTTTTTTAAATCAAAATGTCAAGAAGTGGAGCTTTCAGTATATTCTCTGACAAAAGTAGTTTATTCTTAAAAGTTCAATGTTTATTCTCAATAATTACACTTTTAAAGCGCTTAACTGTTTTTTCTGATACATGTTTCCTAATAACTGCCCTCAAATTGAAAGATTGATATTTTACTCAACATTTTGGCTTTTTCTTAACATGCTGAATAAAAAAGTTAAATAGTCCTTTTCTTCTTTATGTTCCCTCATACCCTAAAACTCTTCCTCACCTGAGGAGACCTCTGTCTCTGGTAAGCTTCAGTTAGTCTCTTTAAAGAGTCCCTCTGTGTCTCCTCCACAGGAACATAGCTGCAGTTTAAAGAGTCCCTCTGTGTCTCCTCCACAGGACTATAGTTGCAGTTTAAAGAGTCCCTCTGTGTCTCCTCCACAGAAACATAGCTGCAGTTTAAAGAGTCCCTATGTGTCTCCTCCACAGGAACATAGCTGCAGTTTAAAGAGTCCCTCTGTGTCTCCTCCACAGGAACATAGCTGCAGTTTAAAGAGTCCTTCTGTGTCTCCTCCACAGGAACATAGCTGCAGTTTAAAGAGTCCCTCTGTGTCTCATCCACTGGAACATAGCTGTAGTTTAAAGAGTCCCTCTGTGTCTCATCCACAGGAACATAGCTGCAGTTTAAAGAGTCCCTCTGTATCTCCTCCACAGAAACATAGCTGCAGTTTAAAGAGTCCCTATGTGTCTCCTCCACAGGAACATAGCTGCAGTTTAAAGAGTCCCTCTGTGTCTCCTCAACAGGAACATAGCTAGAGTTTAAAGAGTCCTTCTGTGTCTCCTCCACAGGAACATAGCTGCAGTTTAAAGAGTCCCTCTGTGTCTCATCCACTGGAACTTAGCTGTAGTTTAAAGAGTCCCTCTGTGTCTCATCCACAGGAACATAGCTGCAGTTTAAAGAGTCCCTCTGTGTCTCCTCCACAGGACTATAGTTGCAGTTTAAAGAGTCCCTCTGTGTCTCCTCCACAGAAACATAGCTGCAGTTTAAAGAGTCCCTATGTGTCTCCTCCACAGGAACATAGCTGCAGTTTAAAGAGTCCCTCTGTGTCTCCTCCACAGGAACATAGATGCAGTTTAAAGAGTCCCTCTGTGTCTCCTCCACAGGAACATAGCTGCAGTTTAAAGAGTCCCTCTGTGTCTCATCCACGGGAACATAGCTGCAGTTTAAAGAGTCCCTCTGTGTCTCATCCACAGGAACATAGCTGCAGTTTAAAGAGTCCTTCTGTGTCTCCTCCACAGGAACATAGCTGCAGTTTAAAGAGTCCCTCTGTGTCTCCTCCACAGAAACATAGCTGCAGTTTAAAGAGTCCCTATGTGTCTCCTCCACAGGAACATAACTGCAGTTTAAAGAGTCCCTCTGTGTTTCCTCCACAGGAACATAGCTGCAGTTTAAAGAGTCCCTCTGTGTCTCCTCCACAGGAACATAGCTGCAGTTTAAAGAGTCCCTCTGTGTCTGAAACACAGGAACATAGCTGCAGTTTAAAGAGTCCCTCTGTGTCTCATCCACGGAAACATAGCTGCAGTTTAAAGAGTCCCTATGTGTCTCCTCCACAGGAACATAGCTGCAGTTTAAAGAGTCCCTCTGTGTTTCCTCCACAGGAACATAGCTGCAGTTTAAAGAGTCCCTCTGTGTCTCCTCCACAGGAACATAGCTGCAGTTTAAAGAGTCCCTCTGTGTCTCATCAACAGGAACATAGCTGCAGTTTAAAGAGTCCCTCTGTGTCTCATCCACAGGAACATAGCTGCAGTTTAAAGAGTCTCTCTGTGTCTCCTCCACAGGACTATAGCTGCAGTTTAAAGAGTCCCTCTGTGTCTCCTCCACAGGAACATAGCTGCAGTTTAAAGAGTCCCTCTGTGTCTCCTCCACAGGAACATAGCTGCAGTTTAAAGAGTCCCTCTGTGTCTCATCCACGGGAACATAGCTGCAGTTTAAAGAGTCCCTCTGTGTCTCATCCACAGGAACATAGCTGCAGTTTAAAGAGTCCCTCTGTGTCTCCTCCACATGAATGTAGCTGCAGTTTAAAGAGTCCCTCTGTGTCTCCTCCACATGAACATAGCTGCAGTTTAAAGAGTCCCTCTGTATCTCCTCCACAGGAACATAGCTGCAGTTTAAAGAGTCCCTCTGTGTCTCCCCCACAGGAACATAGCTGCAGTTTAAAGTGTCCCTCTGTGTCTCCTCCACATGAACATAGCTGCAGTTTAAAGAGTCCCTCTGTGTCTCCTCCACGGGAACATAGCTGCAGTTTAAAGAGTCCCTCTGTGTCTCCCCCACAGGAACATAGCTGCAGTTTAAAGAGTCCCTCTGTGTCTCCTCCACATGAAAATAGCTGCAGTTTAAAGAGTCCCTCTGTGTCTCCTCCACAGGAACATATCGTTTAAAGAGTCCCTCTGTGTCTCCTCCACAGAAACATATAGTTTAAAGAGTCCCTCTGTGTCTCCTCCACAGGAACATAGATGCAGTTTAAAGAGTCCCTCTGTGTCTCCTCCACAAGAACATAGCTGCAGTTTAAAGAGTCCCTCTGTGTCTCCTCCACAGGAACATAGCTGCAGTTTAAAGAGTCCCCCTGTGTCTCCTCCACAGGAACACAGCTGCAGTTTAAAGAGTTCCTCTGTGTCTCCTCCACAGGAACACAGCTGCAGTTTAAAGAATCCCTCTGTGTCTCCTCCACATTAACACATCTGCAGTTTAAAGAGTCCCTCTGTGTCTCCTCCACATTAAGATAGCTGCAGTTTAAAGAGTCCCTCTGTGTCTCCTCCACAGGAACATAGCTGCAGTTTAAAGAGTCCCCCTGTGTCTCCTCCACAGGAACATAGCTGCAGTTTAAATAGTCCCTCTGTGTCTCCCCCACAGGAACATATCTGCAGTTTAAAGAGTCCCTCTGTATCTCCTCCACAGGAACATAGCTGCAGTTTAAAGAATCCCTCTGTGTCTCCCCCACAGGAACATAGCTGCAGTTTAAAGAGTCCCTCTGTGTCTCCTCCACATGAACATAGCTGCAGTTTAAAAAGTCCCTCTGTGTCTCCTCCACAGGAACATAGCTGTAGTTTAAAGAGTCCCTCTGTGTCTCCCCCACAGGAACATAGCTGCAGTTTAAAGAGTCCCTCTGTGTCTCCCCCACAGGAACATAGCTGCAGTTTAAAGAGTCCCTCTGTGTCTCCTCCACAGGAACATAGCTGCAGTTTAAAGAGTCCCTCTGTGTCTCCTCCACAGGAACATAGCTGCAGTTTAAAGAGTCCCTCTGTGTCTCATCCACGGGAACATAGCTGCAGTTTAAAGAGTCCCTCTGTGTCTCCCCCACAGGAACATAGCTGCAGTTTAAAGAGTCCCTCTGTATCTCCTCCACAGGAACATAGTTGCAGTTTAAAGAGTCCCTCTGTGTTTCCCCAACAGGAACATAGCTGCAATTTAAAGAGTCCCTCTGTGTCTCCTCCAAAGGAACATAGCTTTAGTTTAAAGAGTCCCTCTGTGTCTCCCCCACAGGAACATAGCTGCAGTTTAAAGAGTCCCTCTGTGTCTCCTCCACATGAACATAGCTGCAGTTTAAAGAGTCCCTCTGTGTCTCCTCAACAGGAACATAGCTACAGTTTAAAGAGTCCCTCTGTGTCTCCTCCACATGAACATAGCTGCAGTTTAAAGAGTCCCTCTGTGTCTCCCCCACAGGAACATAGCTGCAGTTTAAAGAGTCCCTCTGTGTCTCCTCCACATTAACATAGCTGCAGTTTAAATAGTCCCTCTGTGTCTCCTCCACAGGAACATAGCTGCAGTTTAAAGAGTCCCTCTGTGTCTCCTCCACAGGAACATAGCTGCAGTTTAAATAGTTCCTCTGTGTCTCCCCCACAGGAACATATCTGCAGTTTAAAGAGTCCCTCTGTATCTCCTCCACAGGAACATAGCTGCAGTTTAAAGAGTCCCTCTGTGTCTCCCCCACAGGAACATAGCTGCAGTTTAAAGAGTCCCTCTGTGTCTCCTCCACATGAACATAGCTGCAGTTTAAAGAGTACCTCTTTGTCTCCTCCACAGGAACATAGCTGCAGTTTAAAGAGTCCCTCTGAGTCTCCTCCACATGAACATAGCTGCAGTTTAAAGAGTCCCTCTGTGTCCCCTCCACAGACACATAGCTGCAGTTTAAAGAGTCCCTCTGTGTCTCCTCCACAGGAACATAGCTGCAGTTTAAAGAGTCCCTCTGTGTATCCTCCACAGGAACATAGCTGCAGTTTAAAGAGTCCCTCTGTGTCTCCTCCACAGCAACATAGCTGCAGTTCTAAGAGTCCCTCTGTGTATCCTCCACAGGAACATAGCTGCAGTTTAAAGAGTCCCTCTGTGTCTCCTCCACAGCAACATAGCTGCAGTTCTAAGAGTCCCTCTGTCTCTCCTCCACAGGAACATAGCTGCAGTTTAAAGAGTCCCTCTGTGTCTCCTCCACAGGAACATAGCTGCAGTTTAAAGAGTCCCTCTGTGTTTCCTCCACAGGAACATTTTTAGTGAATGTGACTCAGAGTTCCTATCAGGCAGAGGGGAACCAGGACATCACCCTGGAGTGGACCTTCAGCTCCAGAACAGACACTAACTTCAGATCAATTTCTATCTACCGTGAGATGTCTACTGAGAGCAGACCCTACGTCCTGTTTCATCTACACAAAGGTGATTAACTCCCAGAGTCTCAGGATCCACAGTTTGCAGGACGAGTCCAGTGGGACAAAGACGTCCTCCCAGAAGGACGCCTCACACTTCATGTCTCCAGACTCAGGACCAGTGACTCTGGGTTTTATGTGTGTGCCATACGCACACCTGATGGGAGTAACTCTAGGAGATGCTGGCTCAACGTCACTGGTGAGTAAACTCAGAAGAAGTGCTGTATTTACTGTCCATCTTTTTTCATATCATTTAATCGTTTATTTGAAGAAGCACATTGATGAACATTTAAAACAAATAATGCTTTAAAAACGTAAATATGCCGGATTTTAGCTTTGAGCTAGTTTCCATCCGTAGTCCCTCACATACAACATTAAAGAACATGATATTTATATACATAGCAAAATAAATAAATGATATGCAGAAAGAGCATGAGCAGCATATAAGCATTTACCACAAGGCAGTACAATGTAGCATCTCCGACATATAAAGTGCAGGAGAAGATCAAATAACTACATCAAGTGCTTCACCTTTTTAATGTGCCGATTCTAGTAGATCTATTCAAATGGTAAATAAAGATGCAAGGTCATTGCAACCTCTGATGCAGAAAAGTATTATATAAACTCTTTATTTTCACTGAAAATAAGTTTTCTCCCTGCCAACATGCAGCCATGACGATGGAAGTGACCATTCTTGAGACTTCTGAAGGCTCCTTTATATGTGAGACTGAAGCAAATCCACCTGCAAACTTCGCCTGGAGCAGAAACGACCTCCTGTGGCCGCAGTCTGCTGTCAGAGAGGGTGCAGTGCTACGGTTCAAGGACATGACCTCTGACCTTAATGGCCTCTACGAGTGTGAAGCATCCAACCAACATGGAAGTAAACAACAACAGCACTACAGTATGTGTATGTGGCTTCAGGAAACGGCACTATTTGTTGGGTCTTATTCAGCCTTTTGTTCATCCCGAGTGTCGCTGCTGTGGCTGCAGCAGGGTACCTTTATAAATCTGGAAGGATTCAATGGAGAGGCAGTCGGTCCCAACAAATTCACCTCCACCTGAAGAGGGGCGAGTTTTACAAGAATCACATCTGTTGGTGATATCCACCTTTTGCCCTTTGTTAACTCATCAAAAAAATAAATGACTTAAAAACAAATAAATAATATAAAGATGTAAAGCAACACTCTGGTAGTATACATGTGCTGCAAAATGAAAATAAATAGCAAAACAGTGTTTTTATGTCCTGCCTCTGAGAGTGCAGGGGAAAATGTAAACAAGAAGCACACTGTTCAGGGTGTGCGCTGTAGGTGTAAGAAGAAAATAAGATGATATTGTTTTAAGAATACATTTGAAATTGTATTGCTGTTATGTTAAGATATCTTTGTGAACTTCTATAAACCCTATGCCCCGTCCTGCGCCCCGAGACCCTCAGAGGCATCATTGCTGGTCGTAAACAACCTGTCTGAGGAGATCAGGGTTGCAAAATATGTCTGCTCAATTAGGTCAATGTTCTATTATTTGTTTCATTTATTCTTAATCTATGCATTGTATGGTAATAATGAATAAAAACGTAATGTATTGAACACATTCCGAAACAAAGCAGATAAGACAGAACTAGACTCCGACATAATACTAATTGTTGTTGAAACCTTTTGCGCTGTTGCTGCAAAATGGAAACTTTGTTGATTATCTATTCCAACTGGCCACTGGAATCAGATAATTAATATAAGTTGAAGTTCAATTACAGTTTTAAATATAGTTTAACATTCTTTATTAAACTGTTAAGCCCGAGAGACCCCGGTACCGGGGCCCTCCCGCAACATCTTGCAGGAAACAGTGTCTGAGGGCATGTTCATTTAATAAACTATGAATGTTTTATATCCATGTACAGTAACGGGAAGAAACTCATCTAACTGATCATTTTCATTTTCCAAATAAAAAACACAATGCTAACGCAGAACTTCACGAATTTTAGCACAGACATTCCTCATGGAATTGCGGACATATTTGTATATACATTCCATTAGCCCCGCCCCCCAAAAAGTTGGCCAATTTGAAAAATGTGCGTTTTTTATGCATTTTAAGCACATTCGTGCGAACTCCTCCTAGGGGAATGATCGGAAAAATTCCAATCCAGGACACGTTCAGCCCCTATCCAATATGATACTTAATTGAGAAGAACATTTTTGATAGCTCAATCATGGAGGTCGTAAGCTAACAGCGAATACACCATTTTTGACGATTTACATGTCGCAAATTACTCCAAACTACTCGAATATAGTTAATCCGATATTTACGAAACGCTGTATACATATTTCTATTATGATTGCACACATATTTCAAATTGCCTTCCATTAGCCCCGCCCCCCAGAAAGTCGGCCATTTTGAAAAATGTGCGGTTTTCAGCCATTTTACGCACGTTCTTACGAACTCCTCCTAGGGGAATTATTGTAAAAATTCCAATCCAGGACAAGTTCAGCCCATTTCCAATGTGATGCTAAATTGTGAAGGAATAGTCAATCGCTCAAACAAGGACTTCGTAAGCTAACGGAGAACTTTCCATTTTTGACGATTTACATGTCACAAATTACTCCAAATTACTCCAAACTACTCGCGTATACTTTTTCCAATATTCACGAAACGCTGTATACATATTGCTATTATGATTGCACACATATTTCAAATTGCCTTCCATTAGCCCCGCCCCCCAGGAAGTCGGCCATTTAGAAAAATGTGCGTTTTTCATGCATTTTAAGCACATTCTTGCAAACTGCTCCTAGGGGAATGATCGGAAAAATTCAAATCCAGCACAAGTTCAGCCCCTATCCAATATGATGCTAAATTGAGAAGAACATTTTTTATAGCTCAATCGTGGAGGTCGTAAGCTAACAGCGAATACACCATTTATTACGATTTACATGTCACAAATTACTCCAAATGACTCCAAACTACTCGCGTCTACTTTTTCCAATATTCACGAAACGCTGTATACATATTGCTATTATGATTGCACACATATTTCAAATTGCCTTCCATTAGCCCCGCCCACCAGAAAGTCGGCCATTTAGAAAAATGTGCGGTTTTCAGCCATTTTACGCACGTTCTTGCAAACTCCTCCTAGGGGAATGATCGGAAAAATTCCAATGCAGGACAGGTTTAGCCCCTATCCAATATGATACTTAATTGAGGAGCACATTTTTGAAAAATTACTCGTGAAGGTCGTAAGCTAACAGCGAATACACCATTTTTGACGATTTACATGGCGCAGATTGCTCCAAACTGTTCGCATATAGTTATTCCGATATTCACGAAACGCTGTATACATATTGCTGTTATGATTGCACATATATTTCAAATTGCCTTCCATTAGCCCCGCCCCCCAGGAAGTCGGCCATTTAGAAAAATGTGCGTTTTTCATGCTTTTTAAGCACATTCTTGCAAACTCCTCCTAGGGGAATGATCGGAAAAATTCCAATCCAGGACAACTTCAGCGCATATCCAATGTCATGCTACATTGAGAAGGAATAGTCCTTCGCTCAAACGGGGAGCTCGTAGGCTAACGGAGAATGTACCATTTTTGACCAATTATATGTCAGATAAGCTACTGAGACCTGCCTGTCTGCCTGGCACATCAACTCTCACACACACACACACACACACACACACACACACACACACACACACACACACACACACACACACACACACACACACACACACACACACACACACACACACACACACACACACACACACACACACACACACACACACACACACACACCTACTGTTAGTCCAACAACGCCCTTTGCTGGCGGCATATTCATTACAAAAGACACTCGCTAACCCTAACCCTAACCCTAACATCACATCACTTCCCACCAGAACTCCATTTACTCACGAAACAATATTTTAGACTCCTCCAAGCCATCCACCACTCACAAATAATCAACTACACCTTCACCAACAATACTTTTCCACAGGGGATGATGAAAAAGGTACACGGCTTAACAGCATTCATCAAACCCGCTTCACCCAACAGTATAACATTTGACAAAGTACAACAGAACACCAACACCTGGATGCACAATAACATGACAATACTCAGACACCATTATGACCAGGTTATTGCTGTGGAACTAGCTCACCTCCCTCCCTTTAACCAGGCTGCCTTTGACAGGTCTGCCCAGTGGGGTCGGGCTAGGTATGCCCGCAGACTCAGGCCCTCCTCCCTATCCACCTTGAGGGACCTCCTAACCAGGGGGCTCCCAACTGAGGAGGGCCCCACGGCACCCTTGTTTGCCCCCTCTGACTTTCCTCCTCTTCTTCCTCCTCTTCATCCACCAGCAGCCAATCTGCCCCTCCACACTCATCACTCTGCTCACCCCCCTCCCCATCCTCATCCCTCTTCTCCCTGCTCTCCTCCCCCCCCTCCTCCCCCTTCTGCTCCAGTTCCTATTCCCTCAACTCACCTTTCTAACCCCTACCCTGCCCCTAATCCTAAACCTAAGGTCTCCCTTCCCTCGCCTAATCCTAATCTCGCCCGAGGCCCTAAACCCAACCTCACCCCAAGCCCTAAACCCAACCTCACCCCAAGCCCTAAACCCAACCTCTCTGTCCCTCCTGCCTCATCTCCCTCTGACTCTCACCCTCACCTCCCCCTTCCTCCTCCCCCCATTTCCTCACTCCCAACCTGGCCCAAATACAAACCTCCCACTAACCCCCCTTCTAAACTGACTCCTCACCCCTCTTCCTTCCCTACCTCTCTTTCTACTTCCTCAGGCCTCTGTGCGTCGGGGGGGAGGGCTGTGGCGGGGGGCCTGGGGGCGCTTCCTCGGCCCCTGCCTCAGCGCATTCTTGGAGGCCGGGTGCGGGTGGAGGTCCATCCGCTCCCTCGGACCGTGCTCGACCGTCTGGGGGCCGATGGGACTGGGTTCTTGACCTGGCCCCCACTCTCTCCTTCCTCCCCTCCCTCCGTGCCACCCTCCCCACAGAGAGTAGATACCCCCTTAATACAGACACCTACCTCCCCCTCCCATCTCATTTCCATTTCTTCACCTCCCTCTCCACCCTCCATATAGATACACAGTAATGTCGCTCTCCCCTGCAGTAACACTATCTCCTCTTTTTCACCTCCAGTTCTACACAACAACCAGCAGAGGGAGCCAGAGCTGTTTGCTGTGGAGCCCCTGGAAAGCATACCGAGCCCTGAGGTGGATGAAAACATAACATCAGTGATGATGAAAGGCCCACTGAGAGTCAGTCTGACTTCAAGCCTAACATCTGAGACATCCACCTCCCATTCCACAGGGGTCTCTGCAGCGGCAACTGGTTCCCCCACACGCCCAGAACCGTACACACATCCCAGAACTTTTAAGAAGCTTCAGGTATGGTCGTTGGAGTCGCTGAAGAGGACCCTTATTGTCGGGGACTCCAATCTCTCCCGCATCCCCCCCTTTACAGACCCCCACCTTCAGATAGATAGCTTTCCGGATGCTAAATTCCATCACATAACTTCGATTCTCAATAAACTAACCCTAACCCTAACACCTCACAAGTTATAATATCAGTAGGACTCAATAATGGACTCTCAGACACTGCACTCTCATCTTCGATTAAACAACTGCACGCCATGTGGAAACAGAGTACTCTCTGCTTTCCAAACGCCACCATTTACATCCCCATCATAAACTTTTCCAACAGTCTGACCATCCACCAGCAGACTGCACTCACCACACTCAACAACACCATAGCTTCCAAATACAACTTCATACCGGAAATAAACCTACTACTCTTCCATGTCACTTCACGCGACAACATACACTGGACCCTGCAGACGGCCGAGATGTTACTCAGGTACTGGAAACAGCATTTAAACTACTGAACGGGGATCATAATTGCATTACAACTCCCCACCGCTTAAATATAACCAACCTCTCTGCCGTGTTCTCCCCCACGGCCGTACAGCTGGAGCTACTGGAAAAAAGTTTATCATTCATTCCAACACCCAAACTCCCCACCCGACCGGAGATCAGGGCGGACCTCCACGCCTTCCACAGGCGGATTAAGTTCATGGACCACTTCCTGGGGAGCCGGGGGCGGGAACCTGTTCTGTTCACCGGACCGTCTACCTGGGAACCACACACGGCAACATCA